ACTTAAAAATAAACTGACGAAAAGTCTGCGCAACGATCGTGAACAGTGGTGGGCAGCAAAGGCTAAAGAGATGGAAAAGGCAGCGGCGATCGGTAACAGTAGACAGTTATTTAGACTTATTAAGGAGACTGGGGGGAAATGGTCAACAACAGTTAGTGAGGTTATAGCGGAGAAGGACGGATCGGCGATTCACTCGCAGGGAAGGCGACTGGGACGATGGGCAGAACACTTTGAGGAACAGTTTAACTGGCCTCCAGCCACCATTGCGCTGCCCGCTATCCAGTCGGACCCTGAATGGGACATAGAGACAGGTCCCCCAACACTAGAAGAAGTTGAGAAAGCGGTAGGTAGCCTGAAACGGGGAAGGGCAGCAGGACCAGACGGACTACCTGCTGAGGTATACAAGAATGGTGGTAGAGTTCTCTTAGTCAGGCTAACGGAAGTGTTAGCCAGTATATGGGAATCAAATACGATCCCCTCCGACTGGTCTAAGTCACTGATCATCCCAGTCTTCAAGAAAGGCGAGAAGTCCTCTTGTGATAACCACAGAGGAATCAGCCTGACAAACATAGTGTCTAAGATCCTAAGTTCTATAATTCTCCGACGCCTGAGTGGAGCTCGGGAACAGCAAGCCCGAGAAAACCAGGCAGGCTTTAGACCTGGCCGTGGATGTATCGACCAAATATTCACACTGCGCCAGGTCCTGGAACATAGGCATGCTTACAGACGCCCGACAATAGCTGTATTTCTCGACCTGAAGGCGGCATTTGACTCCGTTGATCGAGAAGTCTTATGGCAGTGTCTGTCACTGAAAGGCGTGCCTAGTAAGTACATCACCTTATTGAAAGCTCTCTACTCGAACACTTGTGGGCATGTTAGAGCCTATGGTGAGTTGTCCAGGGAGCTATACTCATCAAGTGGTGTCCGTCAAGGATGCCCACTATCCCCATTCTTATTTAATTTTATCATAGATATTCTTATGGAGGTTTCCCTCTCGTCACCTAATTACAAAGACGTTGACCGGACCACAGGTGAATTTTCCTTAGATCTAGAATATGCAGATGACATAGTCCTGTTAGGTGAAGACGCTGACAAGATGCAGAGTCTTCTGAACACTTTGAGTGGGAATTTGAGAATGTTTGGGATGCGATTTTCACCACCCAAATGCAAATTTTTGCTCCAGGACTGGTCTTCAGCGGTACCGCGGTTAACAATAGAGAGTGAAGTGGTTGAGTGTGTTGACCACTTCACTTACCTGGGAAGTAGGATCAACTCCGGTGGGTTAGTTGCCGATGAGATTTCTGCACGGATACAAAAGGCTCGATTGGCTTTTGCCAATTTGCGCCACCTATGGCGCCGCCGTGATATTCGTTTGTCTATTAAGGGTCGCGTGTACTGCACAGCAGTCCGCTCTGTTCTACTGTATGGCTGTGAAACATGGCCATTGAAAGTGGAAGACATGAGAAGGTTACAGGTATTTGACCACCGTTGCCTTCGTAGTATAGGACGTATTCCGTGGTGTCACCATGTGAGTAATGCAGAAGTTAGGTGTAGAGTTTTAGGGAGAAGAGGTAAGTCAGTCGACGAGGTTGTGAACCTTCATCGACTGAGATGGTTGGGACACGTACTACGTATGCCTAGTCACCGATTGCCTCGTCACACAATGTTGGCTGAGGTGGGTTCAGGCTGGAAAAAGGCCCGAGGTGGCCAGACTAAAACATGGCACCAATGTATGAAGTCTCTGACTGTTGGTTTAAGCCATGTAGGACGATGCAGACTAGGTGGTTGGGGTCCACGGGACAAGAGGAACCAGTGGTTGGAGACCCTAGGTGATATGGCTCAGAACCGAAGTCAGTGGCGCAGATGTATACACACATTATCCTCATCTTAACAACGCTATACCGAATCTCACTATTTTGTCACTCCTCTTTCCTTTCTTCTCATACTTTATATTTCTTTTGACTGCATTCACTTATCTTCATCCTTCACCTCACTACCTTTTTACTTGATGTGCTGATATGAGGTGTGGCAACTCGGACCGTTACGCAGTAATGCCTGGTCCTATGTTGATAATGATGATGATGATGAGGTCCAAGCTGGATAAAGGCTCGAGATAACCAGACTAAAACATAGCACCAATGTATAAAGTCTTTGACTGTTGATTTGAGCCATGTGGGACGATGTAGGCTAGGTGGTTGGGGTCCGCGAGATAAGACGAACCAGTGGTTGGAGACTCTAGGTGATATGGTTCAGAACCAACGTCAGTGGCGCAGATGTATACACACATTATCCTCATCTTAACGACGCTATACCGAATCTCACTACTTTCTCATTCTTCTTTTCCTCTTTCGTACTTTAAATTTCTTTTGACTGCATTCGCTTATCTTCATCTTGCGCCTCACTGCTTTTTTTCATGATGTACTGATATGAGGTGTGGCAACTAGGAGTGTTGCGCAGTAATGCCTGGTCCTAGGTTGATCTGGATGGATGGAAGGAACCCAGTAAAACCTATATCATGACGGAGTAGAACAGATAGGGTGGCTAGCTTACAACCGGAAATATTTCTTCAGGAGATTATCTTGCACTGAGTGAAATCAGAAGGACAAATGCATGCTAACACAAGCATATCACGGAGAACTACTGGTAGCTTCTGAAGAGGAACTTACCAAGGCTGAGATATCATATGGTATCACACTACTATTGTTTGGAAATTAAAATCAGCCGGTAAAGTGTTCATGATTGAGGTCATGAGAAGTGAGCTGGTGATTAATGAGGAAGATATCTTGCGATTATCTGAGAGGCTTGATTTGGCAGTTACATTATTCTAAGTGAGCTTCATCATCGTTTATCACCAATACCAGTAGACACCACTGAGGAATTGCTATTATAGTATCTGAATATGCCACTAAACCAATCGGAATCCCTGATACTAAAAGGATATCCCCGACTCTAGAGATGGATCATAATCTGGTGAAGTAGCGTTTGACATTTCGTGGTCAGTTATCTTCAGACTAGCCTGACTGACGTAGTTTCCTAGCTAGACGAAAATGTCCGTACTGCAGACAAGCCACATGTAAATACGAGCAAACGTTTGGCTACGGAACAAAATGATTGTCTGAAGAATCACCTTTTTGTGGAAAACTAAAGAAAAGAATATAGCCATTCGCATGGATTAAATACTTCAGAAAGATTTCTTCACTATGAAAGAACTAAAAGGCTTTGAAATCAAATGTTAGGTCACAAAATGAACCAAAGGCTTCCTATTTTAATGCGAACTGATGATTAGTACGGCATTACATATGAAATGCCATAGAGGATACAGTGCATTTATTATTTTTATAAATACTAATTAAATCTGGACATTTACAAATGATAATTCAGACAGACCACTAGAATTTGGCACTAAAATACATCTAATAACTTTAAAACAGCATCCATCATCCCTTATGTCATATCGAATAGTCCCTATTATGTTACAAGTGGTCCACGACGACTGTCACATGAATTTCAGGTTTTCAAGGCTGAGTTTGCAATTCAGTAAACACCAGCAGATCTGTGAAGGAGGTACTAAGATACACTTATTGTGCGAAGATTGACGTTACTTCTTAGTCATCGACATTTTAATGATGAAATAAAATTGTTCAATTACCACATGTTACCCGCTTCATCGTATGCTAAAGAATGACTATGACATTAACCCACGGAACTGAAAAATTCCCCATGTTCGAACAATTCAAAGACTTTGAACCTTAAGTTACATTTTTATGCAAAAAGAACTTTCATCTGTAATATCTGAAGAAACACTTCAGAGTTGTGAGGAATTATATGGCTTGTAATTACTTTGCGTTATTCGCCAGTTCTGTAAGTTTCTTTAAGTGTTCATGTTTTTCCGAAGTAGAAGAAATCCGAAATGAGTGGATTGTACCGAAATGCGACTTTGCAGCAATGTATGTGCCATTATATCACACCCTATTCCTCACTTTAACCACTATGAGGTAACACACAGATACGAGGAAGACATCACATCCTATTAACTGCTAAAATAGAAGTTATCCAGTCATTATCTCCGGAGTTGAAAAGACCAGGTAGCTGAATTTCTGTCTAACTGGTTTATTTGAAATGGTGGTATCTTAAAAAATAAACAATGGTACCCAATATCCAATTCGCTGATCCAGTTGCCTAGCTTTAGATACCAAACTTGAACTTGAGAAACAGGATAGGTATTAAGGAACATGACCATCGTGGTAGAGGATATATATGCATCTTTTACAACTAAATCTTGAAAATTGAGCAAATTTTACACTATTGTACTTGCAGTATAAGTTGCATATTCGCGTACAGGCCTGAGATGTTAAAAGGTTTTAGAAGTCATTCACTTCCCATTGGCCATTTCACGGTCATTTGACAATACTTCCTTTAGTTTTGCCTACCAATGTTAGAAGGAACACTAAGAAGTCAGAACGTAACGACAGCAAGATGGATATTGGTGATAACCTTCACTCCCTTAGGGTTCGGATGTTTTGAAATGCTCTTTGCACGAAGCCGTTTAACCAACTTCATCAGATTCCTTCGAAGACAAACGCAATGCGTACCTAAAGTCTCAGTGCAATCTAGTGGAGGTTACAAATAATCTCTATGTATCTTGGTTTGCAAACAAAAGAAATGGGAATCAAATGCTGCGAAACGCAAAGCTAGTTAATCGAAAGTGTTTTCTATTCCTACATCAACTATATGAAAAATTAGGGTACGGATGGATTATCTTTCCTCACGGTTTCAACAGCAATTAAAGCTTGCGTCTCTACGTAATTACTTGAGTGCTAAGTGTTATTTATTATTCCCTACTCATATTGACAAGCGGAAATACAAATACAACTATATATATATATATATATATATATATATATATATATATATATATATATATACGGTGTATCCTTACACATAGCCGTGCATATATTTTTGATACCTGGTTCACACACATCCCACCACCAAAAACCTACCTGATGGATGTAGAATTCGGTACCCCTGACATATTTGAATGCAAATGGTACCGGAAAATTCAAAACTTCACAAAGTAATTCATTATCCTAGAGTTGTAGGAAGTAGTCTCATATTTTGGTAGTGACAAAAATGAAGTGTTTTTGTATATCACTCCAACAGTTGTGGCAGGCGTAGCGAATAGTCCCCGTGTAACTACCAGGAAAAGGAGACTGACTTAATGTCTTAACTCTCCTTACGATAGTAAGCTGTAGCTTAAATAGACCCCATACCTTTGTTCTACTTGACCTTAGATGTTAAATGGTTCGAATGGTTGGTGATGGGATAGAAGCCTTCCAACATCTAGCATCAGTAGTGCGGAGATTAGCAATTGCAATTTATGGAGTGGTTAGGGAGCTACGAGTTGTTGGGAAGACTAGGAGTCATTCATAGCTTCAGTCTGTATGGGTTTCTGAATAGGAATACCTAGACAGTGGGAAAAGATGTACAGGAATTACCTGAAAGGTAAAGTAGATAGTACGGATGTAGTTGTTAGAGAAGAGTTATTATATGGTGAAGGTGCACCAACAAAAGTGGTCCAATGCCCAATACTGGCAGTGCGAGCCTAGAAAACTGATGGTTTCCGATTTCTCACGCCTAGTTATAAGGGCTTGATTCGAGTTGCTGTGTTCGCTCCTGCAGTGGACAAGGAAGTCTCTTCTGCTTTCTTGCTTTTAGCTTCGGTGAGGCGGGTGTTTTGTGGGCTAGCTAATTGCAATTAGTAGAATGATTGGGGTGTTATGGGTTGCTGGGCGGATTGGGGGTCTGTCGTGACTCCTGTCTGTGTAGGTGCCTGAAGAGGACTAGTAAGACGTTGAGAAAAAAATTATATGAGAGTCACAAGAAGGTCAAAAGCAGATAACATAGTTTCCAGAGAAGAGTTAGTAGATAATGTAGGTGTATTAAGAAGGGAGATAGTGAATTGGGGGGTAGAAGGGAAATGAAGGTAGACTACTGAGGCTGGTGACTCCAGGAGTACGTCATTGGTAAACCGCGCGAAGTGACATAACTGTCTAGCCGTCCTTTGAATGAGTCCACTGGGGTAGCTATGACAATATCCCGCGGTAGGGCATTCCATAAAGCACTTACTCTTGAGGAGAAAAGTTGAACCTGTGCATGTTGTTAGCTCTCTGATGAGCTATCCTGATGGGTTTCCCTCGTGGTGGCGGCTGTGGTGCAGGCAAGGCTGAGTTGATTGTGCGGTCTGCCTGATGGATGGTCTTGTATACCACAATGAGGTCACCTCTCTTCCGGCGATAACTCAAGGTGGATGAGTTAAGGCGTTTTAGTCCTCCAGGGTATGCCTTCCCCTCTAGATCCACAACTGATTTTGCCGCAGATGTTTGAATTCCTCAAGATTAGAATCTCTTTAGAGTGTTACGGGTGCATCTGTATTGAAGACTCCCAGTCAAGGCCCTATGCATGGTTTGAAAACTGTTAGAAACAGTTCTGGGGTGAGGGCACCAAGCTGTCTGCGCAGGAAGTTCGAAGTGGCGTTCGCTCTGGTTGCCATGTCTTTTTAATTGGAGCTGGTGTCCAGGGTGTCTGGGGAGCGAAGCTTCAAATCTTCTCCGCGAATACTTTGGGGATAGCAGTGTTACTCAACTTGCATTGGAAGTTGACCGCTCTTACTTCATATTTCTTGATGTGCGTTGCTTCGCTGTTTCCAAATCGAGGCTCGAGCCGTTTTCCCATGACTAAAATTCTAACTGCTGGAGGTTATTTTGGGTTGCTTTGCCTTCGACCCTTCGGTTGCTGTCCACCAAATTTTAGTGTTTTCAAGGAAGAGACAGAAGCTTGAAGGGATTTTGTGTTGCAGATTGTTAACAAATAGGAGGAACGGAAGTTGTCCCAGGATTGTTCTTCGGGGTACCCCTGACGTTGACGGTCCACACTAACCATATTCTGTTTACCTTAATGCATAACCGTCCCCACTGCTTGGCACGCCCTGAACAAGAAGAGTGGGGGGCTCGCTTATACAAGTGACAAGTTCTTGTGAGGCGGGTAAGACAACTTCAGACCCCCTAGCCAAGTGGAGACAAACAATATATGCCGGATTTCTGTTGTCCCAGCTGAAAGTCCAGGTGTCACGAGCTGTCAGAAAGTTGATGGCACATGGACGACCACTCTGAAAGCCGCCCTGAATAATACGGATGGTATTTTCCTGTTTGAGGGATTTCCGTATCTCGTCGGCCAACAGGTTTCTTAATACTTTGGTCAGTATGGGGGTTGGGCTATCGGTCTGCAGCTACCAGAACTTCTCCCATCTCCTCCCTTGGAGATTAGCGATAAGATGATGCACTTCCATTCCTTAAAGATTCTGCATGACAATAGCGATTGCTTGAAGGGGTTACAGATTGGTTTTGCCAGTGCCTCGGTGCAGTTCTTAGGATTTCCGGTCTCATGTTGTTGTAGCTGGAGGACTTGTCCAGATAGGGCCTTCGGTTAACTAGCTCCCATGTTTATGCGCAGATGGTCATAATTTCCTTTTGATTTTCGATCTGTATGTGAATAAAAAGAGCGAGAAAGATGGTGATCGTAGTAAACACTCACGTTAGTTTTTATGAGCTCCCGCCTAAATCCTAAGTAGATGCCAAGTTGACTAAATCAATAAAATATCTTCACCCTCAAGTCATGAAGTTAACATGAGAGAAGCCAATTTACAGGCCTCATCAAATCGATGACTGCAAGGAAACATAAAAGGTTTTAGCAGTACTGAATGATATAGAAGGAGGGCATTAAACTCTATCATGATACCAAGTGTCTAAATGTCATGAAAATAGCAGGAAAATATCACTTTACAGTACATACACATCGTTCTGAGTTGGAGTCATTCCTGCTCACACTTCTTTCTTCACACCAAAGGTTGCAATGTTCGGTGTTTGCGTTATGAGTAGTCGACATGATTGACTTATCTGCAAGACCCAGTGTTTCGTCAGATAAAGGTCAGTTTTAACAGCAATTCTTATGGTCGTAGATCTATTGACCAATAATGACTTACTCCAATGATTTCAGGAATAAGTGAGTATCCATACAATCATTTAATCCGGGTGAATGTCTAGGTTCAGGTGTTTCTCACTCTTCAAGTGTTTCCCTTTCCAGCAATTCAGATTGATAGTACTGAAAACATTTGTTGTGGTGCAGGTAATTAAAGACTGGAAGCATCGTTGTTCAACAGTGGTGAATATTACACATGTATAAAACTTCATAGACTTTACATTTATGCATGCAACATTGCCAAGGAGATACATTGGCTGTTAATAGACTTCTATTAGATGGATTGGTACAAGACAAAGCACAAGAGAAATCTGTTGTATAGCATCATTGTGGGTGTGTTGCCTTTAGGTAAAGTGATCTCTCAGGTTGGACTGCCTGTCCAGATTTCCGCTGCATTTGTCATGGGCCAGAAGGTGGAGACGATTTTTGACAGAGAAGAGGAGGCTTTCTTAACTACAACCAGTGAACCAATGTTTTCGGTGGCTGATAGCTTCAGTATCGAGATAAAAAGGATAAACATAATTTACTCCTTTAAAAGACCTAGGTTATTGGGACTTAGTCTGCTGTTACCTCAATAAATCAACAAACAGATGCTAAATTCTCACCTTAGCAACTTAACATGGGAGAAGCCAGTTTACCGGTACCATCGCATCAACATGTGTCGAAAAATCCACAAGATTTTACTAGCCCTGAACGGTACAGACAGAATATCATCAAACTCTATCAAAAACAGCGGAAGATCCTGCTAGTAATGGAACGAAGAGGAAAATGTTACTTTCCAGCATATACGTAGTGTTAAAGTTGAGATAATAATGATTTTTATGGTCGTATAGTGGATTCAATATGGGAGATACTAGTTTACAAGCATCGTCAAGTTGGTAATTCATGAAGGTTTGCAAAATGGTGTTTAGTATTAAACAAATGACATATCAAGTCATTGATGTGCATAATCTTATTAAAACTTGAAATTCATGAGATGGACATGGATTTTCACCTCCCATGACACAGATAGGTTCCACTATTAGGAACCAAAGCGCTCAATGTTCTAAGTTTGCGTCATAACCAGCCGACACTTTTAGTCCATTCGCAAAGTTTCTTATTGAGTAATATAACCGTTTATTCTTTAGAGCCTTCCTCAGTTTTTGGCTTTGCTAACCATAAAGGATCCATTTATGTAATCTGGAGTATCGGTAAAGTATCCACAGTCATATAACCAATATCACCGTGTTACATTTAAGGGTAGTATAGGTTAATTTCACCAAGCATATTCGTTGCACTGGATGGAAATAGACGTTGGAACGGTCAATAGTCCAAATGGCAGTATTTATACATAGACATCAGGTATCTATTGTATTGGTATAGGCAGAATCATTTGAAAAGTGTGTCTGATGCACAGCAACTCTGATATGAAAAGACGGCTTTGTACAGAGTACTAGAAAACATGTGGAGTTACTGCAGGTAAGTCGCTTTCCGAGCCAATCGGTAAATTGGCTTCTGGTTTAATCATGTGTCCAGAATGTCTCTGCCGCTAATACTGTTGGGGAGGTTTAAACGGTTCATCGCAAGAAGAATCCTGACCAGTGGGTGAGTCATTCGCGAAAATAGTCCAGAATTTGCGGAAGAGCGGGACAGTCTAATAATTATTGGCGTCAATGAGCAGGTGTTATTTCCACAAAGTAATTATATTCAGACTGAAATTCAGCATCAGATGTCGTCATCGAGCTGTCGCTGCAAACAGGAAAAGAAAGAAGAAGCACGAGCAAATATGGAAAAGGAAATTACTGCGCTACTCAATTTGGAGAAGAGAGAAGTCCCTATTCCTCTAGACCCGTTCGAACTTCATGTACATTTTCATGAGTACATGTAGGGTCAACTACACAGTTTTTCCATCACAAGGTTTTTGAAGTTTTCTGTATTTGGGGTGCACCATAGAGGCTTTGAGAACAGTATGCATTCAGTTCATTATGGGGAAAAGAACCAGTACCCACACCCTCGTATCAAATCTCAAACCCATAAGTATTGAAGGAACTCAAGGACTTCAATAACTCTGATTCACACATTTAGAGGTCGAAGTAAGTTCACAGTGGACGCAGTGGCTCGACCATTATTACGTGCTTACCTCTCCGTTATACTACGTATTTGTAGATATAATATGGATGTCAAGAATTCACTGGGTAGACGTTGAAACTGAAATGGGGACATGCAAACGCGAATACAATATGGGAGCTTACTCCGTAACT